CTGTCTCTCTCACTCACACACACACACACACACAGCTGGTTCTCTGTGTGTGTGTTGATGGGTCTTGTTTCTGTCAGACTCCCAGCGCGTGCCTTTAGTGTGAGCTCTCAGCGTGAAGCAGCGCTGCTGCTGGCTGGAGATAAACACACACAGCCTGTATCTGTCAGGATTATCAGCAGTTTTTCGCTCCTGTGGAGCCGCGGCTAATGAGACACGCTGAAGCACCAGAGGCTAAAAATATGAGAGTAAGAGGAGACGCGTGGGACGACGACTGACAGCACGAGAACACGTGACATTTATCATGATTTATCACGTCACAACTGGTGAAAACAATTAAATAGTGAAAACTGATGAGGAGTTTAAAGGGGTCATGACATGAGAAATCAAGTTTGCCTTGATATTTTGGCATATAAGAGGTCTTTATACCATTAAAACATCCTGCAAGTTTCATAGCTTAAAACCTCCTCCTCATTATAAATAAAGCATTTATTTAATCAAGCTCCAAACACGGCCCGTTTTGGATCCGAGGGGCAAGATGACGTCACCTAGCCCCAGTCATTTGCATAAACACGCCTCCAGAGCAAGACATTGACGAATAGTCATCATCTCACCATAGGCTCCGCCCCCTGGTGTTCACTCTCTTAACAGCTGACACTTGATCACTCTGAATGCGAGTGTCGCGTCAAAAGCAAACAGAAATTACAATCACTGCCGCTATCTTGTCTACACTGGATACAGTACACAGATGAGCGTTTACTTTGACACAGTCCACCGCTCGAGTCTGCCGTCAGGACAAATGCAGTGAAAGAACGTTTGCTTTGATGCGTTTGGTTTAAACAGCTCGTTCGCATCTTTGTACAGTTATCAGAAGGATCCCAGCTTAAGAAACAAGTGGATAGTTTATTTTTAATGGCATCCCGGATCGTGTCTGAGGATTTTGTTTTGTAAATGAGGCACAGTGGCTGTGTTTACACTTGGCATTAACATGCGATCACCGCGATCTGATCAAGCAGATCGGATCATCAGTCAATCAGGCGTGTTTACACTTGGTAACATCAGCTGACTTCTCTATCTGGATAACCAATCGGATCTGTTGTTCCCGCGCAATATCTAAATAAGTCTGCAGAGGACGGCCCCAGTGCAAAGTCGGCCTGAAGTAGTGGGTTTTCTTTTGAAAACCATTTTCAGTCACGGGACATTTTACAAATCAAAGATAAGTGTACGAGTCTCACTAGCGCTCCACTGCCAGGTGTTCTCCATCTCTTTTCTGACAGTTCGGGAGAGAGGGGGCGGGGCTTTGACCTGCTAATGCTGACACGATGGCTGGATTGCGTTTGCATTACACTGAGATCCAATCACAATGCGTCCTTGACTACCTCTGGACCAGGACACGCTGACTGGATAACATTCCGATCAGAAGCGTGTTTACACTTGACTTTTTAATGTGTATGTGGACAACATCCGGATACAGAACGCATGTTAATGCCAAGTGTAAACGCAGCCAAAGTCATGGAGAGTCCCAAAGAAGCGGTACTAGATCTGACTGCAGCCGCATCACAAACACAAGTAAATTATTTCATAATGCTTTGTCTGGAAATTACCGTTTATTTTGATCATGTTGTCAAAACACTCACAATAGCGAGAGGGCGTTGATACTGTTTCCTATGCAGTGACGTTAGCCAATCACAACAGCGGCTGATTACTGACGAGCCTAAAAGGACCCGCCCCTCAAAACAGGTCGTTTTAGAGAGAGGGTCAGAATGAGGGTTGAAAATAATCATTTTTCCCCATATTTATTTGTTTTTTTTGTGCAAAATAACTTTAGCAACATTATAAGTAAACCTCAAGGAATATATTGGTGTTCATCACAGCGCCAAATACTTAAAATATTTAGACTTATAGGCTATTTCTTTCCAAACTTTTTTACATTTTAATCTGGACTACAATATGCTCTAGAAATTGTTTTGATTATTCTTTGTTCGTTCACACTTTACATTAAGGCTCCATTAGTTAACATTAGTTAATTCATTAGTTAACATAAACTGCCAATGAAAAATTATTCTAAACATTCATTAATCTTAGGTAATTTCAATATTTAATAACACATAGTTAAAATCAAAAGTTGCAAGTTTGCAACGGTGTTATTTAATGAACTGAGCTAACATGAACTAACAGTTGTATTTTTTAAACAAAGATTTATAACTTCTGTGCAAATGTAGCTATTGCTCATTGATAATGTTAACGCATTAACTAAGATTAACTAATGCGATCTCATTGTAAAGTGTTACTTATTAGTCTTCATAATTCTTTTGCACTTTAATCTGTGCAAATTTTTTACTTCATACATCTCATGCATTGAAACTGTCAGAAACTCACATTGCTTTCATATGCATTTTTTAACTACCACATTCCTGTTTACGATCATTCTGGCAGCATAGCTTTAGCAACATTAGTCTTACAGAGAGCCAAGAAGCTCTTTCAGAAAGGCAATTTGAAAACAAAATACGAAGCGCTTACTTTGCCTGGATCTGACGTTCGCACACGAAGCGTTGGTATTGATCCCTCTTTCTGAATCAGACTTTGAGAAAATTCAGCGTTGAAATGACCCTCGTTTGTGAGGCAGTACGGTGTAAAATGATTGGCGTGACTTTATCGATTTATTTTCTGTACATTTCCTTCGAAATAGTGTTGGATCGTTCTTGAACGATTCCTTCATTTTGAACGAATCTTTAATGTGACTCGGGAAGAACGAGTCGTCTCGGGGAGTGATTCGTTCAGTCGCGCATGCGCAACATCCTATAGGTTCTGTACTGGAATTAGTCAAGTAGTTCGAGTCTTCGGGTTTTTCGAGTCATTCGTTCATCACGTGACAGACTCATAAACTTACCCTATGCAGTCTGAGCCGGAAAGAGACTTAATAATAACCAACTCTTTATTTCCTTTGTTACAACATTCAGTGTTATGGAAAAGAACCATAATGACAGAAATTCACAGCGTAAGTAGTAGACATATTAGGGAAGTAACACGTAGCATTTTAATTATATTTTGTTAAAATGAACGAAATGACTCGAAAAAAGATTCGTTCATTTTGCTGAACGAGACTCAAAGGTCCGAGTCGGTAAAATGACCCAAACTTCCCATCACTACTTCGAAAGTGAAACTTAACCACAGTGTCCTTAGCGGTTCAGATGGAGGGAGTCTATGGAGCTATGTTCATTGGTGCTTCCCAAAACACAGCACTTGCATTGCCTCTTTGGTAGGGGAGCTCCGATTGATGGGCTAACGACTCTAACGCTAACGGTCTCTATAAAAACCGATCTCAAGCGGATGACGCTGCAGTGAGAGGTTTGGCACCGTCTCAGTCTCTGTCTGACGCAGGTGAAATAATTATAATGCTGAAGGTGAGGTACAATTCATATTTCTTCATTAAATAACTTATAAAGTAATTTGAAAACTTTGATAACTTCACAAACAGCGTGACTGAATCACCGCACGCTCTCTCTTTCTCTCAAAATGCGCAAATGTCTTCAAATCACCACATCGCGTCTGTCTATAAGTGAGCAGCACACGCTGCACAGTTAACAGGAATCATCACTTGCACAATCGAGGCAGTGTTGCATCGTCACTAAAGTTTATAAATTGCATTTCTTTTTAATTCTTGCCAGTGTTTAAACCATTCAGCTGGAGACTGAGCTCATGCACACTCGCAGCGCACACACATAACGCCAGGTTCACATTACTCCGTTTGCAGTGTGTATGTGGTGCGTATTTTTTCCGCGCTCATGTTAACGGATGAAAGCGTTCACACAGCACATGGTTGCGGTCCGGCAGTGTGTTCAGGAGCGGTGCGTCTGCAGCAGAGCAGAGATCGTTTCCACACCGAGTCTATGGCATCGCTGCAAGCACCGAATTAAAGTAACAGCGCATTGTTTGCAGTAAATATGAACATGGATTGACACGAAAATGTAGTAATTACTAGGGATGCACCTATAGGATTTTTTTGGCCGATACCGATTTTAACAAACAACTATTGGCCGATACCGATACCGATATTGGTCAATTGCATAAAGCAGGGCTTAAAAATGAGAGAGAAAAAAAAAAGATTGTTAACTCGGTATTTGAACGTTTCTGTTCCTGCGTTCCTCTGCGAAACCGGTTTGAGCAGAAAACATACCGGTTAATAACATTATTTTAAACTTTTTTTTTTGCCAATAATAATAATAATAATAATAATAAAAATACAGCGTTTAATTTACTCAAAAAGAAAACAAATCATGAAGAGAGTCTTGAATGATCTCTCTTAGTCATAGCCAACACAGCATCATGTTTTCTAGATTTACCAAAGACCAAATGTATTAAACAAAAGAAAAAACGGTCAACGCAATAAAAACATTAAATATTTTTTTTCCAGATATTTAAAAATGTTTCAGCATGGATAAAAAAATGCTACTCCTAAGCGTTAATTAAAGATCGTTATCGGTGAGCGTATCGGCAGATACTGCTTTCCGTGATCGGCCTCAAGAATCCTGATCGGAGCACTCTTTGGCGCCGACATTGTATTTTTACCATTACAGGCTGGTTGCTTTCACACACTGCAGCCACACAACTGTGTTCAAACACATTATAAAAGTGATTTTTGCATAATAGGTTCCCTTTAAATAGTGAAAACTGATGAGGAGTTTAACGTCTCATATTCCCACACACGTATTCTAGTGGAAAGTGACTAGGTATTGTTGCTTGTGTGCATGATCGTGATGGATACGGAGGTCTGACCTCGATGACGTCGGTCTTGGCGTCTCCCCAGTAGATCTTCCTCTCGCTGTAGTCGAGCGCCAGTCCGTTGGGCCAGCCCAGAGACGTGTTGACCAGCACCAGCCTCTCCGTCCCGTCCAGAGTCGCCCGCTCGATCTTCGGCACTTCACCCCAGTCTGTCCAGTACATGTACCTGCGGCGACACGGGACACACGCTTCAGCACACGCTGAACACGGAGCTCCAGCAGCCTCTGACGACACCAGAGCACGCTTATTTCAGAAACTCCAGGAGCTTGTGCTTCAACAGTGCTCTGATCGGTTTCTGGCCATCGGATTGGATCGAACCTTGAAAATGGGTTGTTCAAAAAAAATAAAGGTTTTGAAATCAGGTTCGATCATATAATCCAGTCTAGTTTTTGATCCGGATCAAACGTTTTAGTAGGATTGGGATTCCTTTGATCCCAGCAGAAGGAAGGATTCAGGGTGGATTTCAAAAACAAAATGATTTTAAACGACTTCAAAATTGGTCAAATAATACAACACTTGTAACATGCTGCATACATATTTATATTTAACCGTTACAAACCAAAGGCCAGCAGTTAATTTCTGCATTTGAATGTTTTAAATCGTATGTAAATTATAGCTTTCTATTCTATTTCTATTCTGTTCTTTAAAATAGTTTAAAAACCAAACAAAAACATTAAGTAGAGCAAAACGTACAAAAATAACACAGAATGTTACGGAATTTGCTACATTGTGGACGGATGCATCAAAAGTAGGTCAGTACACTAAAATCAAAACACGATATGGACTAGTGTCTGTGAATATTAAGCTGCAAAAATACCATTTAAATATGAATACTATATGTTATGTGCGTCTCTGTGTGAAAGAATGTTTAGTTTACTGCACAAATACTGAGCCTCTGCCGTCTCAATATATGAGCACATAATCTCTAGAACTGCTCTGATAGTCACTTCATGAGCATTTTACCGTTTCTTTTGAGTAAAACTATCATCATATCATATATAATCAGGAACCTAAAGGTTTTCACAGCAACCCTTCAAAATAAAAGTTTGGTTTAACTTGAAGAAATCGTGACAGATATCGTACTTAATGTAATGAGAGTACTACTGCGAATAATAAAATTATTATTAAAGCATTATTTTTAAAGGAATATTTGCCAGAAAAATGTACCAGAATTTATTTAGATGAAAATTGTAAATACATAACACAGTATGTCTGTGTTGTGTATTAAATAATAATAATAATAACAAAATAAAATACAATAATATTTATTTTAAATAAAATCAATTAATTAGAGATGCTTTTCATTATTAATATTTAATGAAACCATTAAAATGGAATCCTGAAAATTAGTGGAAAACAGAATTAGGTAAAAATAGAACTGAATTTAATTTCATAGGGCCTTAAAAATGTAATTTTTGTTAAACTTCCTGTTTAATATTGTAAATTTCATGATTTCAATTAATTAGAATAGACATGCTTTTTGATTAATAAAATAATTTAATTTAATTATTAAATAATAACTTAAATAATTTAACCATTAAAACAGCCTACAAATATTACAATGGAAAAAACGGAATCCAGAAAAATAAACACGGAAAAAGCGGATTTTGGGAAAAAATAAAACAGACTTCATAGGGCCCCATATGACTGACTGCATTATTTTCCAAATGCTCAGTGAACTACTGATTGAACTGAACTAGCGCAGTAAACGGGAAGAGGCCGTCGGATCGACAGGAAAACAGAGCAGAAACTCGTTCAAACGGAAGGAATGAAGCAGACGAGGTCTCACCCGGCGGCGGGGTCCAGCACGATGGCCCTCGGCTCGTCCAGCTCCTCCGAGATCAGGATCTTCCTCATGCTTCCGTTCAGCCGCGTCACCTCGATCCGGTCCGTGCCGGTGTCGGTCCAGTACAGGTTCCGTGCGATCCAGTCCACGGCGATCCCGTCCGGATGATTCACCTGCGAGGTCACCACGAACTGAGCCTCGCTCCCGTCCAGGTGGGACCTGCGGATGGCCTGCACCTCGTCGTCCGTCCAGTAGATGTGTCCCTCCACCGGGTCGAAGTCGATGGCGATGGCGTGCCGGATGTCGTCGGTCTGCAGCACGATGTCGGTGAAGTCTGGCGTGTCCAGAGAGATCCGCCGCAGGTCTGTGCGCCGCGCCAGAAGCAGCAGCTGAGTGGCACCTGGACAGGGTCAGAGGTCAGAGGTCACAACACAGACGGTCTTCGTACGAGACTGGAGTGAATATGCTCAGACCAAACCAGTGTACATTACGCACTTCTGCTGAACACTAAAGAAGAGTTATTAAAAAACGCTGAAAGCACATTGATTTTCACTGTACGGACAAAACAAAAAAACAACAACAGACATTCTTCAAAATATCATATTCAGTGCGTTACAGAAGACAATCAGTCATTAACTAATCATATCATCATACTCCTCTCAGCTGATAAATCATATACATCAAGACAGCTGTTTTGTACAAGATTTACAACTTTTTTTGAAATGCTATGTTTAAATATGCAAATTAGGCATTATCTAATTAAATATGCATTCATTTGCATACATTTCCAGAACAGAAATCTGAACACTGGTTCAATATTCTTGTCTGATGTTGTGGTCATATTAGACTTAAAGGTTTTTCCAGAGGGGATTTTGGATTTCTCTATTTCTCACTCCATAAATCAGAAAACAAACATTTTCACCACGTTTGTAGGAATAAATTATTTTATAAATCAGGGTAAATGATATATGAACAAATCTTCAGAATATAGATAGGTATAAAACTGTAAAGTTTGGCGCTTGTAAGAGAAAAACTCTTTAAAGATATGGATTGGAATTGAAATCTACAGACGCAAACACATAAAGTGCAATAAAATAAACACTTAAATGTGTATTTTGGATATTTTCAGTCCACTAGTCTGAAAAAAGATGTTATGGAAGGAAAATAGACCTTAAAACTGACCAGTGCATAAAACACACTGGTTTTACCTTAAAGCAAACAAAGGGTGTTTTACTCCAGAATGTGTTAAATGTGTTCAGTCCCTCCACGCACACACTCTCTCATATACACACACACACACACCCACACCCATACATACACACTCTCTCATACACACACACACACACACCCACACCCACACATACACACTCTCTCATACAC